TCTTTAAGAGCATTTAATAAATATTGTATCTTTATTTAATACTCATATATATTTAGTTTTTCATGTCTCTACCTGTCCTATCTGTGACATGGTAATCTCATATTGACTCTAATACAGCAATGGCCAAAAGGTAGATCCCCAGCTGTTTTTAACTTTATCCCCCATGATGCTTTACCAACTTTAAAATAGACTAAACATTATAGGAGTTATAAATCCACAATAGCTGGAGATTGAACATGTGGCCACTCCAGTTCAGAAATCTAATCAGTTCTTTGATGATGGGAGATATATAGATTTTATGTATGTGATGAACATCTTCCTTAGAATACTAGGACTCTTAAAAAAAGTACTTTTTTTTTTTTATAAATACATAATTTCAATAAAACAATTATTTCTTTATCTATAGGGATATGGTGTATACTATGATACAAAAATGTGATTTTCTATGATTTAGTGCCTTTATTCTGGGTTTTTTTTGGTGACCAATATACGACAAATGAACAGGTTTATAAAATTCAATACACAGATCAACTTACTCTAAAATATTCTAAATGCCAACAATGGGCATGAATGTGATATATTTTTTTTTATCAGTAAGTATGTTATGGTTTTTGCTTGAAACATTGCTCAATGGGGATTTTAAGTCTATGTATGTCTTTCTGTATTGTGCTCTGTGTGGAGTTCTAGAATGTGTTAAATGTTAAATTGCTCGAAGAGAAAGGATAGAATACTGCTTTGTGGGGAATTCTAGAATGTTGTCCCAAATAGAACTCTGGAATACTGTTAGCAATTGTTAAAACAATTCTAATTCAAGCATAACACTCTGCTGGGTGTTACTGAAATTCCAAACTCTTACTGTGAGTAAAGTTGTAAAAAGCTGCTCTGTGTGGATTTCTAGAATACTGTGCTGGACATTTTTGAGTGACACTGATTGTTAGGATTCTAAAATGGTGAATTCCAACATACCACTGTGTGGAATAACAGAAAGCTCCTTTAAACCAAATTCTAGAAAACGACTTTGAACAGGAATGGAAAATACTGCTCTGAATTCTAGAATCAGATGTTTACATCTTTAGAACGCTGTTCTAATTAGAATTCTAGAATGCTCACAGACCAATCCATTTCCATGAGTTAAATGCACCTGTGTAAACATTCTAGTGTAGGGATAGGCAACCTTCGGCACTACAGATATTGTGGACTACATCCCCCTTTATGCTCTTACACCCATAATGCTGGCAAAGCATCATGGGAGGTGTAGTCCAAAACATCTGGAGTGCCGAAGGTTGCCCATGCCTGTTCTAGTGTATTGCTCAGAGGGTAATTCTCAAGTAAAATCTCTAAATGTTATTCTCTAGAACATTTATGGAGTCAACACTGTGTTGACTATTGATGCTCTAATGTGATGTTGCACTACCGTCCTTTATTACCTTGATTTAATGAAAAAGCTATTCTAGCATGCTGTCTTGGAAAATATAAAATGATGCACAGAATATAAAATGTATACACCTTCGCACTATTCTCTTTCTAAGAGCATCACACTTTTTTTCAAAGTTAGAAGCACAGCTCTGAGTGGAATTCTAGAATGCAGTGTTCACAACTGAGACATAGCACAAATGTATACTTATCTAGTAGCTCGCTCATTTATGCATTCCATAATCCGTACTTATACATGCTTATATATTATAATCACAATAATGTAAACATTTCAGAGTAGATAATTACCAAATATAACATGATTGAACTTTAATAATTAAGCATGCATGGGTATCTACAGACAGGAGGGGACATCTGCCCCAAT